TTTTTTAAGATCGAAAACCTTCCAAATGTAGACAACGTTCTTCGCCTTATACAGGACATCTACGTCGTAAGGGAAAAACGTCAGTTTTATCTTGAGTCACGGCTTTACGGGAAGCTGCTTTTTCTCGTAAGGTCACCGGAAACCATAATACGATGGTCTCGTTATCACGTGAAGGAGAAGAAAGATTAATTTGCTAAAGCAAGCATTAGTCTTCAGCTTTTTTTTATCTTTATTTATTTATTATTAACATTTTTGATAAACAATCACTTATTGTAATTTCAGTTTGCTCCTTGTTAAAAACTTCTAATACCATCTTTCAGTTCTTTTATTCTTGAAAGCATCAAAAAATTCAATTGTTGGGAATAATCGTAAAAAAGAAGCTTTCAAAACTAAAAAAGTGCCATTTTACTGTTACAGTAATAAGGTTTAAGAGTCCCACGTGTTCTCTAGTGTGATTAATGGCTGTAGGTTTCAAAGCTTTGTTCAAACTCTTCGCTGTGATCGAGAAAGGTACTTTATCTTATGTTTGTGCAGGTTAACTAGTAATGGATCTCAACTAAATCTTTTTAGTCTAACGGGCTTCTCTGTTATTCTTTCCCTATACTGTTTTCGTCCTGTTGATGTATATTACGAGTGGTCTTCTATGAATTACGAGTAATTGTAAATCTTCAAAGTCATATTACAGCTGCAAAGTTTTGAGCCATAACAGTTTATTAGCGGGATAGGGCTTTATTGAACAAATAGTGAGCTGAAAGCATTTCTGCCCTCTCAGGTCGTTATTTTGTACATAGTTGTCGGGTTTTTGCTGTTTAGCTGGTCACTAGTTGTAAAAGACAATGCAAAACAAAAGTTGCAAATATCATTTAATACTATTTTAAAAATATTCTACGTTGTTAAGCATTTCCGCTTTTCCAGTGGTTGTGTGGGCGTCGTACAGCTCTCTTGTTCTGTGCCGTAAAATTTGTTTTTGTTGGTTTAGTAATTTTGCTTTTCTTTCGCGGCTTCTAAGCCTTGGTTGCATTTGTTTATGAATTAGTGATTGGACACTTGTTATAACTGCTGTGTCTTTTCTATATTGTGGTACAATTGTATTATAACTTGATACAGAGGATTTTTGTTCGCCATTTGTTTAGTGCAACGTACACAATTCTGTGAGTTTAATTCTGGAAAGGGATTTTTTTAAAACAATTGAAAAAGATTTTCGGTGATGCTGTTGACAGTAATACTGTGGTTGTCGAGTTTTTGAATTTGAACTTTCTAATGTCGCTATACGCTCTTCACAAAAACTGCTGTATCTTTATTTTAAAATAGCGTATGTTTCTGTTTTCTAGGCTTTTTTCAGTCTGATCCTTCTTTTTGTAGGGAAAAGCTGGCGTCAAATTCTGTTGCCAAAAAGTAGGGTTGTTTGATTCAGAGTTTTAGGTTGCTGGACGCTTAAAGTTTTTTCAGTTAGTTTTGATCGAATTTAGAAAAACAGACTGATGCAGTTATAAACCAAATGAAAAAACCAATGTACAGATTGATGAACAAGGGAAAAGGTGCACAACTGATGAACAATAGAAAAGAAAACTACAGTATGCGTACATAACAAGTAAAGGAAAAAGAAATCTTTTATGTTTAATTTTTTTAACTTCTCTCAACGCAAATAATTCAACAAAATTGTTGATCACTATTTTCTAGCTTTACATAACAAGATACTTAGTAACGCATAAACGGTTATCACAGTTGGCGGTCAACGATGTTATTAATTTAATAATCTGAAAGACTGGAACTTTCATATGTCACAGTAGTAATAGAAGTAACAACGATATGATGATGGCGACGATGACGTCAGAAATAATGCTAATAGCAATTATTGATATTAGCATTGTTTTTATACAAGCATTAATTTTTGGAACTAACTGACATGGGAACAGTATTTTACAGTAAATTAGCATCAATAATATATAAAATTGAAGCAAAAAAAAAAGAAGAATTTATTTTGGTTTTTTTTTAATGATTGTATTACTTACTGGTGTAAAAAATGAAATGAAATAATTGTTTTATTTATGCGGCGTTATGCAGTCAATAATGTGTTTAGACAGTTTTTTAAAGTTATTTGCAAAACTATAGGAAAAAAAGTAATGTACAAACAGAACTTGCTACAGATTATTATCTGCTCAAGAAATGCTTTTTTTTTTCAAAAAAATGAACTGATGGCGTTCTGCGAAAAGAGAGGAAGGAAATGGTCAGTGTTGAGCAACCAAACGAAAACAACAACGATAACAGTAACAAAAATGAGTAACAAAAAAC